TATATATTTTCTTTCACATGACTTGATAGTGTTAAAAATGTTAATTCCACTATTAATATCTAGAAGTTAAAAATACAACCGTGGTAAATGATGTTTGTTACGTTGTACCAATGTCTCTGTTTTAGAGTTTAAGGAATAAGGTAACGATATTTTGATACTCGATGGACATTTTATTCGTTTTTTTTTTTTTGTAGAATTGTGAGATATTTGTAGTTGCAGATAGAAGGGTTGATATTCGTGGTTCAATAACAGCACAAAGTAGATATAGTGACAAAGAAAATAGTGGATTTGTGTTTGTTGAAGGAAAAGTGTATGGAATTGGAGGTGTGTATTTGGGAAGAGCTATTGGGGCTTATTCAAGGGTTATTTTTGCAAAAACTTATTTTTCTAAGACAATTGTACCTCAAGGATGGACCAATTGGAGCTCTCCAGGATCAACAAAGTAAGACATCCTTTTTCCGTCTTTTCATACTTGATTTTGATATGTTTTACTTGAGACGATCGAAAGTCTATCATAAATAGAAGGTACAAATAAACACTTGTGAGATTACACTAGGTATATTGATGATGTTGTTGTAGCTATGAGTCTACGACCAATAAAATCGAGAATTTGGATCAAATTAATAAACTTACGATCATGAAACAGACTTAGGTACTTGTTAGCGACGTACATAATTTATCATGAGTAGTGGCTAGTCGAGTATTCTGCTTGCAACCATGTTGATCAAAATTATAACTAAGTTTAATGACTTGATCAGTTTCTAATATTGATCTTATTATAAGATTCTCTCACTTTATGGTTGATATTCAATTCTCTTATATTTATAAGCGTCTTTTTGAAAGATATATGTATATATATAGAGAGAGAGATAGTGGTATTTCATACCAACTTATACTTGATTCATAAGATCATAATAGGTCGTTTTACTAGGTTTAGGGAAGAACTAGCTTGTGTCAAGGGGTTCGATCAATTGAATACCTTTCGCCAGAAAATCATACTATTTTTTTAATAAGGTGAAAAAAAAATTGTTGAATCCCCTTGACACGAGAGAAGATTCTACCTTTGTATAGCATAAAGGTTCAAAAAATACTTTGACATAAAATTTAAATTCTGAATCCGACAAATTTCGATATTTTGTGCAGGAATTTATATCATGGCGAGTACAAGTGCCATGGACCAGGGTCAGCCATAGAAAGTCGTGCCCCATGGTCAAAACTACTCAATGACAAAGAAGCCATGGCATTTACCTCTATTGAATTTATCCAAGGCAAACAATGGCTTCCAGCATGGATTTAATTAAATTTAAAACATATATTATATGAACATTAATTAGAACAATATATTATTAATTTATTATTAGCCATGAAGTGCATCTCTTAATTGTATTTTATGATGCCTCTGGCTAAACACTTTTAGCTTAGATTGAAATACCAATAATATATTTTATTGGTATTTCAAAAGGTTGTGAATATTTTTGAGCAAATTAAACCCATACAAATTTTGTCATTTCAATATAACTTCTCAATATATTATATCAGAATGGTGTAAGTCCATCATAACTTAGGAGCAAAACAAGTTACATCTCGCGATTTTAAATCACTATAACTATTCAAGTTTTACTATAGTTACTCAAAATGCATTTGGATAATGACCCATTCGACATAACTTGTGAAAAAAATAAAAAACTTTAAGAAGAAAGTTATAATCCGTCAAGTGTTATTATTACACAAATTTCTTAGAAGAAACAAAATTTAAACATCAACCTTAAATGGTCATATTTGTGCAAATCTCCCGTCCATTTTCATTATGATATTATATGAATATTCATATCAAACAGAAAAGTCAAGAGAACAAAGTGTCAAGTTTTACTATAGTTACTCGAAATGCATTTAGATAATAACACATCTGACATAACCTGTGAATTCATCAAGTTATTATTGCACAAATTTCTTAGACGAGACAAAATTTAAACATTTACCTTAAAATAAAATGGTCATATTGTGCAAATTTCATGTCCATCCATTATGATATTACAGAACGATAATTATTTAAGTATATCCATATCAGACAAAAACGCCAAGGGATCAACAAGTCAAGTTTTACTATAGTTACTCAAAATGGATTTAGATAATGACCCGTCTGACATAACCTATGAATCCGTCAAGTTATCATTGCACAAATTTCTTAGACGGGACAAAATTTAAATATCGACGTTAAATGTTCCTATTTGTGTAAATCTTTCCCCAAGCCCAATACCAAATTCAGGCCCAAGTGAATAAACAAAATTCTTTAGGGCTCCAATTAACACTGCACACAATTTGGTAAAAACTCTCTGAAACTGAATCGGAAACGGAATCGGAATCGGAGCTGAGAGAGAAAGCAACAATGGAGGCCGGAGACGAAGCGCTTGAGATGGTGGTAGACTCGAAGGACTTGCAGCAGCAAAGCAAAGCTCTAGATAAGCTCACTGACCATGTCGAAGATCGTCAGCTTGATTCCTCTCGTGTTCAAACGGTACCATTTTATCCATATTTCACATGAATCTATGCAATTCTGAATTTGCTTCAGTTTTTTGTAATTCTAATGCTGAAAAATTGTGTATTTTAGGCTATGGCTTCAATTTATGCATCTAAGGAAGCTGATCTTCAAGCTATGAGACTGAGGTTTGTGAGTTATTGCTTATGAATTTGAATGTTTTTGGATGGTATTACTGATCGAATAGTTGGAAATAGTTTATTTTTTTCAAATATTTTTGTAACTATAAGAATTTGTTAGTTATAATAGTTTTGTTATATATGCAGCTTCTAAAAATGTGATTTTGTTCTATAAAAAAGTAAAAAATGATGCTTCGAAAATTAGACTATGGCATCAATTACTTCATAAGGAAGCTGATAGTCAAGCTAGATGAGGTTTGCTTTTCTTCTTTATTGTTGAACTTAATCGAGGATAAGGAAGCTATAGTATTGCTATTTGGGGAGTCGGGTAGTTATTTATTGAGTTGAGGATCTAGCGGAAACAGTTCTCTATACCTTAGAGGTTTGCGTACACCGTACCCTTCCCAGGCGGCACTTTGTGGGATTATACTGAATATGTAGTTGTTGATACAAATTCGTTGTTTGAATTATTTTTAATCTGGTCTAAAACCATGTAAATTCTTACTAACAAGAATTAAGAAATTGATGCACTTGCAAATTAGGTTGTCGCTTTACTTGTTGCATTGAAGGAAGTCGAATTCAGGTCTTGCATTCAGGATGAATTTGACTTTTAAATACTCCCTGCCACTCAGAAGGAATGACAGGGTTTAGAATACGAAAGTCAAATCATCGAAACTTCAAATGAATTCAGATGTTATTTCCTCATTTTCTTATAAGATTACGTACGTAGTCATTATGATAAAGTAATATACATTTTATAATTTTTTAAAGACATTTCAGACTTGTTTCTATAAATCGTAAATACTAAAGAAAATTGTTTGGGTCTATCGGGAACAGTCCTCTACCACAAGGTAGAGGTTAAGGCTAAGTATACCCCACCCTCCCTAGACCCCAATTGTGGGATCAGACAAGGGTATGTTGTTGTACAAAAGAGATTTTTGAAATAAAGCGTCTGATTATATTTATATTGTTGTTACTCGTAAATCTCTTTTGTTGATCTTATCCATAATTCTTGTTTGTTTATGTGAAAGGTGTTTTGTACTGAACAATTAGTTCAATTTGTTGCTTCAAGAAAGTTGATGAGTGTTTTGATTGATTGCTCATGCGGAGTTGCATTTCTTTAGCTTTCAAATCATTGCCAGAAATTTAGGAAGCATTGCTTGTAAACTTCAATTTGTGTAACCTTATCTGATAAAGAAATGAGTTTGAAGCCCACAAGTTTTTAGATACATGGAACTTAGTTGATGTGTGCAAGGGACTTTCAGTTTATCCAAATTAAATAATTGAATCGGTTGGTATGTCTCCACATGCTTATTTTACGTGCATCGAAGGGAAATGAAGAGTTATTCAATCATGGAAATCAAATAACAAAACAGTGAATATGAGTTCATTGATTTCAAATATGATATTGAATTGGAAAACGATAGTCTCTTGCCTCTCGGATTGGCAAAAGAAAAAAGAAAACCACACCTAACAACCACTATTTACATTCATATTAACATCGATATTACATTTCAATGTGTGTACTTAGCTTTTGATCCTCTTTCAGTGTATTTTTCCTGTTTTGATAATGTCCTATGCTTCTTGTGAAGTTTCATAATCCTTTATAAATAAGATGACATCGACAACTTTGTGTCTATTACAGGGAAAAAGAACTAGCTGCTGTTAAGATTAATGCTGCCGATGTTGATATAATTGCAAACGAACTAGAGGTTGGTCTCCTCTTACATCTACACGCGTTGTTTCTGCTGCTTTATTATAAATCTCTCATGTTGTTATGATTGTGGAATAGGTGGACAAGAAGGTTGCTGAAAGGACTTTGAGAGAGCATAAAGGTGATGCTGTAGCTGCAATAAGGCATTTGCTCAACTAGTACAACAACTACAACGCCTCAGTCCCAAATAAATTGGGGTCGGCTATATGAATAGTACCGGGGATTTTTTCTGTTGATTCTGAGATGTACTAGCAAAGATACTACTAAATGTTCATGCTATATATGTAACTTTGATCTGTTGACGCTGCTTTTCAATTATATTGGTAATTAATTGCTACTATTGGAGTGAAAAATTAGATGTGATTGATGAGCAAGTTTTGGATTACGAAATGATCTATGCATTACTATTACGTACATAACTTGTCTTCAAACCAAATGACCCATAAGTGATTTTTATTCATCTTCATTAGCCAAAGTTGGTCTGGCTGAGTTATCGAATGTATGTGCTGATAAAAGATAGCAGGTATCTCGTAGAATAATTGAAATATATTCTTAGTGGACAAGACTCAACCCCAGTTAAACTTCAATTGAGACTTCAAATTCAAAATTGCATACAAAGGAGCAGCAACAGTACAAGAAGAAAATCAATGACTTGAAACATACCACCTGGGATGCAAATTTCTCATTCAATATACAAATATTTGAATGTTGTAACCTTGTAAAACCCACAACGATTTGAAGACGAATTCACTTCATAAAAAGATAACAAACCAATGCAAACTGTGAATTCATCGAACAAGAATCATGTCAAGACTCACGTAGGGCAGTAAATGACTATTACCAACTTGACTCGAATAAAGGGAGCTTCGTTTTCTTCATCAGATTTCTTTGTAATGAATTAACTGCAAGCCTAACATTTAGCCTTTGAATGTAGGATCCGACAACACAAGCTGTTTGTGAGCTCTGACCGACCAACTTTCATGCGACAGCCATAAAATCTTGAACAGTTAGCAATCAGCAGATGAAACTCAACCATATACGTCTGTTTGTTGTGTTTACTGTTCCTTCTGGCTGCTATCTCCTGCAGTGCTACGTGCTGCCTGTGCCTGAATAACGTACTGTCTCTGCAGATCCTTAAGTTTTTCCATCAACTCTTGGAATGAAGGACGAGATTGTGGCTCACTGAGTTGGACAAAACATAAAAAAGTTGCATATCAGCTCATTTCAGAATAATGACGAGTAGGCCTCAATCTTAAGCAAGTTGGAGTCATGTCGCTCCATTTATTTTATATCTCGGTTCAAAGATGTGTAAAACTAATGTGATTCAAAGCAAAATGGTTGTCAGGGCAGATGCTTTGCAATTGCAGTCATAATGCTCGGGAGGCGGGACAATGGAATCAAAGTTAGCCGATGATACTTTACTAGTCACTTGTCAAAAAGATGCACTGAACTCCAATATCCTTTTCCTAAAAAGGCTTCACTCTTAAAGATATTATTATGTCCAGGTTACATATTGTCCATTAACTTCTACTTTAATTTCTCTCAGATTTATCAATTAAGATATTGAATACGTTTCGATGTCATCTCAGTCTGGTTTGCTAAAGAGGAGTCCACCATAGCTTTAGAACAAATTTGAATTCAAAGGCAATAGGCCTTGGAAGTTCCAAATAATAATAAGAAAAACTGATCATGTTTTTAACATGACGATATCTTCCTCTTAAGGCTATTTGCTTCAACAAAACAAATTATGATGGCAAAAAGAATTAAGATGCCAACCTGAGCCAACAACTCTCGATAATAGACGCCAATTGTGGATGAACATCCTTTGGGATATCTAGCCGCTGATTCATGAATCCTACAGCTCCAATCACCTGCAATCAACTCCAAGAAGTTGTTCTTTTTATACCATTATATGATGAAAAATAATCCACTATTATCTTTTACTTTTGAGTTGATGGTCAAAAACACACCTGAAGTTCAGGTAAGAAACTCGAAAAATGTGATACTTCAAGTGTGTTTGACCATTATCTCTTTATTTTTCTTATATGTGAGGACTGAGGAGTGTCGGAGGGGGAGGGGTGCTCTTCACCAACTTGAGCAAGAGAACTGAATTTTATGGAATGTTGTCCATGTGAGATTTTAGTTAGATGAAAATACCTGCATTGTGTTGAGGTTATCCCAAGGGATTTTCTCCGTGGCGAGTTCCCATAGGATCACTCCAAAACTGTATACATCAGACCTAAAGGCACATTCAAAGAAGGATTAATATCTTTAAAATATTTAGAAATCTGCATAAAGTGCATATATCTCATAGTTGGCATACTTCTCATCTGAAGGTTCATTGCGAAGAACTTCTGGAGCCATCCATTGAGGCTGCATGAGAATTAATGTAAAAAGTCAGATATTCACATGACGTTCCAACACCATAGGTGAAGTAAAATAACTCATACTGATAGAGTAAAGAGAGACAGATCCTGAGTTCAAGCTGAATACCGTTCCTTTACCCGTCCTTGTTGCTAGATATGTTTCATGTTTAAGACGTGACAGACCAAAGTCCCCAACCTGGCAATATTTGCATGGTGAGAATTCTTCTCAGCATATTAAAAGCTCTTTCGTAATAGAGGATTACACATCATAAGACTGGTAATACAAAGAAGAAATGACAGTCAAATGAACTGAAGCCAAACCTTCACAGTCCAGTTCTTGTCCACAAGAAGATTTGAAGACTTCAAGTCGCGATGAACTATAGGAGGGGTAAGATGATGAAGATAATTCATGCCACGAGCCTGAAAGAAGCAGTAAAATGAAACATGATACCTAGCGTAAAAGAGTAACCTTGATAGCTCCAAATATCTCAGATAAAAGTTATTATATTACTATTAGAAGAATTGATGATCCAGTAAAAATAATGGATGTTATTCTTGGTAATAGTTAATATAACAGGTAAACAAATCTCCTAGGAACTTACTACGTCTAAAGCCATGTGGATTCGTCGTCTCCATTCTAATTTGGATGCATTCCTCTGTAATAGCCTGAACAAACTTCCCCTGCAATAATGGAAAAGGTGAAATGGTTTATCAGTCACACACGAAAAATACTGATACAGTCACAAGGAATAGGTGCAAAACAAACTTAACAGGTTATTCAGCACGTAGAAGGAAAAGTATTTACCGTGGCAGGAATTCTGTGACAATGCAGAGACGTTGCGGTGAAGTAACTGCACCCATGAATAGAAGAATATTTGGATGTCGAAGTCTTTTCATAAGGGAGATCTTCAAAAAAAAAAGTAAAGCACAAGGCCTGTCAGAGACGCTTCTGGTCCTAGCATAATGTTAGTAACAATAGTTGAATTAGAAAGCAAAAAAAGCATTAAGCTCATGTTTCCATGCACTAATATCAAGCACAAAAACATTTTCCAAGACATACTATGGATGAGTCATTTCATTGTAGAACTATTTTCTTTGGCAATTAATCCCTGTACAAAATCAGATAGTATTTGCCTATTTGGGAGTAAACGGAGGGACTCCAAGCACAAGTTGATCATTTAATAGAATACAAAAGATCCAGAACCAAGGATGTCTGAATTGTGATTTTCCAGAGAACCAAGACTCAAGCAAGAAAAGAACTCCAAAACAGAAAGTTCTTGATCCTTGTTCCTTGTTTAAGTGCATAGGACTTCAAAAGTGATGTGGCGCATAGAGGCAGGGGTGAAGGAGTTTGATCCACTATTAGCATTTTAATGAATTTTACCACTTATCAATGGAGAAAGTCTAGTCACATGAAGTAGATCTATTGTGATAGTTTCTAACAAACAGAAAATGGTAGTATTTTGTTTTAGAGACATTTAATTCTCATCATTTGCAGATAACCCTTCACATTAGTCCTGCACTGGGATTGATTACAGTAGAAAGTTCAATTTTCGAGAAGTCGCAGTGACGAAGAGCATACATTGCTGGTGAATTTTGACCTCATCAAAGGCTACAGTAATATTATCGCATTTTCTATGAATAACGTGGAAAGACCGTTATTATGAATGCCATATAGTTTAAAGTTCTTTAGAAAAAACAACATTCAATCAGGAAAATAAAAAGAAAAAGCAAAGACATTTCATAACATATTTATGACAAACACACCGACCTCCTGTTTGAAGGAATATATCAATTCCTCAGAATATTCTTGCTTGGTGAACACTTTAACAGCGACATCCTGCACGGCAAAGACATCATTATGTACAAAGGAGAACCAGCACATACACCCTTTCCTGGGTTTTCCCTCCAGAAAATTAGCTAGGAGATCTAAATTTCAAGTGTTGATTAGAAACAGTGTTGAGGAATATCAAGTAATATACAAAACTAATACTGGCTTAGAGAAATTTTCGACTTTGACATCATCCATATCACCATATGACTATGATAGGACCAAGAAGCCAGTTTTGTTTACTGTGTTACAGATTATAAGTATAAGCTCTCGGAGTAAATGATAACTCACAAATGCTTAATGATACTTGACAAATAAATGCTTAGAACATTCTGTCTCCAGGAAGTTTAATGAACAGAAAAGGCAAAGAACTTACTGATCCATACCACAGCCCGTGATAAACAGTTCCACAAGATCCTAGAGAAACACAGATAAAAGAAAAAGTGAGAAATGAAAAAGTAAAAGTAAAGGTGATAACAACTGTCAAATACATAAGATTATCATAGCTATAAAGCTGGTACGGATAATTTGTTGCAGAATTCATGTGTTAGCTTCAGAAAAGATATACAAAGGTTCAAGTGCAATTGACTACTAACTTCTGATTACTATACACAACATAAGCATATATAATGTCTGAAAAATAGAAAATGAAAGTAAACTACATCCTTTCCGTTTACCGAAAGATTCTATGATCAAGTTTGGAATAACTAACTAGACTTGTTTTTTATAATTTCACCTGTAAAAGATATTCCGCGTACCTTCTCCAATCTGCTCTCCGATAGTCAAGTCCTCCCACAAGATTTCGTAATCCAGGCAATCAGTATCCATGTCCACCTTATTAACAGCACTACTGCTGGTGCTTCCATAGCTACTAACACTGCTTGTGCTGTTAATATTAAATGAAGACCAGGATCCTGGAGCTTCATTAGTGGTTGTACGGTATGTTTCAGTAACCTGATTTTCTGGTTTAACTGTATTAGAACTGTTGATGTGATTTAACTCATTGTCTTGGTCATTGTTTAACCAAGGCCACACAGATCGTGTAGTTCTTGACTCTGACGCTTCTCGCTCATTGCCTTTCCATGGCCATGATAAGCTATTCTTCGCCATCCACGCCTCTGCCTTCGAGGTGATAATCTTAGAAATGCCTTGTTTTCCCTCACTCTCATCCCCAGAATGCTCCACTTTTACAAGATTAGAGAATACTCCAAAAGGAGAAGGGAGAACATCTCCCCTAGGCGTACTTGCTCCACTTGAATTTGCATCCTCCCTGTGATCTGAGAGAGCAGCATCAGAAAATGCATGGTCAGAATAATGACTATCTCCACTTCCGCCTTCACGAAACATGCTGCTCTCTCCTGTCTTTATTTTTGACTTAACCTTATTGCTCACCTTTGAGGCCTATTATGACAGTAAGAAAACATAAAGAAGACAGTAAGAGAACATAAAGAAAGCAAAAGAAAACCAGACAACTACCCAAACAAAGACAGTTACTAACAAAATTAGAAATTTTGGAGGCAATGGCAGCTTGCAGGGGCTGCTGTGGATCAAGTCCAAGTTTAGAAGAAGTAAGGGTTCTGGCTCTAAATCTTGTATCAGCTTCCAACTGCTTCACTCCCATAGACATAAGCCCTGATTCTTGGAAAGGCCTCATATCACTTGATATACAAATAACACCAAGCAAAGTACCATCATCATCATAAAAAGGGGTATCGGTAGCAACGACTAGGAATCTTTCCCCTTGCTTATTCTTAATTGGAAACTGTCCAGTCCAACTCTCACCCCTTATCACTCTCTGTACAATGTTATTAGCAGCATCATGATCCCGAGCATCTGTTAGGAGTTCAATGAGATCATTTCCAAGAGCTTCTGCAGCAGAATAACCATATAGTTTTTCAGCAGTTCGATTCCTGTGCAACAACGGCTCATATTACACTCCTATTATTGATAACTTTAACAAACACCAATTGAAGTCAAACTAAGGCCAAATAAAATGTTCTTACCTATCTGCACAAAGTTTTTAGGGGTCATTTGGTACCTAGTAAAGAGGAAACTTATTCATATATTAATTTCTGGATAAGTTATACTACATTTGGTTTGCAATTTAGAAACTCGCATAACTAATGCATGTATAACTAATACGTGCATAATTGTTAACCAGCTACCAAATGACCTCTCAGTGTTCATCACTACAACCATGGACTAGCCAACTTAAAAATAAACTCAAACTCACAAGCTCAATCTCTATCACACAAGTCCTAACGAACAAAAGGAAAAACGAAAAATGCAAAAAGAGGGGATGTACATTTCAATTACTCACCAATAAATTATTTGACCATTGAGATCAAGTATATGCACTGCTTGGCCCATTGATTGTAATATATTCAAATACTGTCTATCAGTAAATTTCACTGCAGCAGGACCTCCTCCACCAATACTACTACCATCTCCCTCACCCTTACTACTACTCTCTCTTTGCAATGGCGACGAATGCCGGAAGGAAATTGACCCCCTTTTCCACACAGCAGCAGAACCACCATCAAATCCACCACCAGCTCGAATACGAGGCGGTCTCTGTGGTGATATAGAATGTGCCCTTTGTCTTTGTGTTCTATGATCATCACACATCATAAGCTTAGACATCTCATGCTTCATTTGAGCATGTCCTGCCTCCAATTCTTGAATCTTCTTAAGCAGCTCCTCAGCTGGTGGTGTTGGTCCTTGTGCTGCTGATGCTGATGCTGCTTTTGTACTATCCATTTCAATTTCAAGATTGATCAAAACCCCTCTTCACCAGTTTGACTTTATCCCCCCTCTATCACTAATTTCACTGAAACCCCATTATGCAATGCATTTCTTGCTGAAAAATGAAGAAAATAATTACCCTTTTGAGTTCAAGACTCCACCTTTTTCAGCTCTCTACAAATCAACAACAACAACAACAAACCTGAGGTCTGGGAGGGTAAAGTGTACGCAGACCTTACCACTACTCTCCAAGATAGAGAGGCTGTTTCCAAAAGACACTAATCAGCACTCTCTACAAATCAATATCTGCAAATGAACAAAGAAAATGGCTGCCTCCCCCTTTGAGTTCAAGACTCCACCTTTTTCATCTCTACCACTTTCTTGACACCTTCTATCTATGGATCTATCACTAATTCACCAACATATGCAAATTTTAGAAGTTCAATTTTGTTAATAGACAAAAAAATGAAGATAAATGGTCACCCTTTAACTTCAAGAATCCACCTTTTTCTTAATCCATCTCTCACTCTCTCTCTTATGACCAATTATCTTGATACCCCACCCCCACTATATACTATCTGCTTCTACATAGCCATAAGAAAATTAATATCTACAAAATCAGTGTGCTAAAAAAACCAACTTTTTTTTCTTAAGTTCTTACTTTCTATATATGGATCTATGACTAATTGCACTAAGAAAACCCCACTATATATATATATATATATAAAAACATAAAAAAACTCAAAATCTGCAAATTTTTTAGTCCATTTTTAGCTGAAAAAATGCACAAAAATGGACACCCTTTGAGCTCAAGAAATGACCCTTTTCATCTTTCTCTCTTCTCTTTCTTTGTACCATAGTTATAGCGGATTTGCTCTTTTAGGTGTGTGTTTTGGTTTTTTTTCCCTCTCACTCGGTGTTCGATATTATTGAAGATATGAAAGATGGATTCGGAATTTTAAAGTTTACGGACCTCAAGTTAATATTGTATTAATACGTCTTAATTTATGTAACATCATTTAGTATAATACAAAATATAAGGAAGAAATGCTTTTGAGTGGCGTAAAACAAATTTTAGACGTTTATATAGTTGTAAATTTTTTCATTATGCTTAAAAAATGAAACTTGAAGTTAATTATTTTAGAGATGATAAAGTACGACGATGATTAATAATTTAGTTTATAATCAAATATTTAGTAAAATTCTTCGTGTGTATATATATAAGGCTTAAGTAAAACTGTAAAAGATATTAATTTTTGTAACTGAGCTTCTAAATTGTCTCTGATTAAAATTCTATTAAATTTGAATTCACGTTAGAAAAACTTACATTAGAAGATTAAGCATTCTCTTGTAAAGGTAATTTTATAGTCACGAGTTAAACTCAAAATCTATAATTAAGTATTATAAAAATGAACTTCCATCATGACTCCAACTTATTTTAGATCTCTCTTTTTCTCTCGTATTAATCATTATTTCTTAGAGACGTGTAAAATTAAAAATGAACAAATAAAATTGAACGGACGAAATTAATCCTACACTCAAAGGGAGAGAGAGTATATTACTTTACTTATTTTATTTTATTTTATTTTTTTGTTTCAAAGTTCTTTTTTAATAATAATCCATATAAAGGCTTGTATGTCCCCTCCACTTTCATATGCTTCCACTCCTCATTTTCCTTTTTCGACTTTTTTGGATAGAGGATCTATCGAAATAATTTATCGATCTTCATAAGATAATAATAAGATTGTGGATATTTATCATTTTTAGATCGATCGACTTCACTTATGAAATTATTGTAAATATAGTATTCTTATTGTTTGGATATTAGAATATTGATCAATTTATAGTTACAACAATCTAATTATAAGTCAAGTGGGATATGTATAAAGTAATCAAAAAAGAATTCTATTTTTTTTTACGTAATTTTCCATTTTGATATATAATCAGAGACCTCACTCGTGAAGTAAATAACAATCATGTGCAAATAATACTATGATAATAATAAAATTAAATAGAGATATTGTCCATTCGAATATCAAGGATCCAAGGAAAATTCACCTTATTCATGTTTCTTATATGCTAAAGCACCACAACTAAAAAGATTGATTCATTTAATATTTGAAATGTCTATTTCTACATTACTCTTAATGATATACTTTTATTAAAAAGATCGACGTATATTTATTATGGACTTAACTAAAATATATAGTTAACTTAGCATTAAAGTTCTTATTCTAGGCCATAAGAGCATAAAATCACAATATTTTTTTAAAATTGCAATATTGTTATTTCTCTTAGAAAAATATAAATAATATTTAACTTAACAAGAAAATAGAACCCCCTCCCCACCCCCACCCCCA